CCTTAAGGGTATTCGTTCCACTGGTTAAGAAACAATTAGCTAGATCAATTTGGTCCAAACGACCTTAGGCTGCCCACATTCTCCACCAAATGTGTTACTCACACAGATTTCTCTTGTCATTCCCACACACTAGGGATACACACTTTTACTCAATTTCTAGGGCTCAAGGTGCAACCCTGTTAATTTAAACACCCACTCTTATCCAATTCCTAGGCCTCAGGGCGTACCTTCATGTGGGTTTGCAGGATTTTTTACCACTGAAAGAGCCTAACAGTAATATTCTTACTCTCTGTTGACAATTACCAAGCAAGCAGAATACACATGTTAAGCATACAGTGTCATGCTCACCAATCCTGATAAATGCAGGTAAACTTCCACTGTTGGCCACGCAAGGTCAGTCTCTGGTTGCTGCATGTCTTGGCTGTGCAGAGTAGTCCTGGCAGCTTTGGTCTTACGCTGGGTCTTGGAGGTGAGTTCTTCTTCCAGGTCTTTCTTTCTTCTTCTTTCTGTTTTTTTCTTCCTTTCTTCTTTCCCTTTGGTTTCTTTCTTGGATCCCGGTTTATGTAGTGAAACTTGAGTCCTGCTTAGCTCTACCGTAACCAATTATTTTACTGTAATTTTATTAACCAGTTGTAACATTCTGAAACAAAATTATCTAACCAATCATACCCCGCCACCTTAACTGATTTACACCTAGCAAAATTAATTATATAGCAGATAGAATTAATTAAAAACCAGACAGAGATCATACTGAAAAACAGTAGGAAATTGAGGACCATAATCATAGAATAACGATTCCACAGCCTCAACTATTGATTTTGTCTGGCAACAGTTTCTTGCCAGACAAAATGCTGTTAAACTAAGTTTTCTTTACCCTTCTTGAGATCTGTTTCTTTATCTGGTGATACTGGGTGCCACTAGGACAGGATCTCCTTCTGAACAGCCTGGTGTGACACTATTGTAATGCAATTTAGATGGAATGTGAGTATATGACTCCAAGCTGTACAGCTAATGGCTGCTGCTCTTCACTCTGGCAGAGAAAGCTGGATGTGCTATTTTGAAACCTCATTGGCTACAGCAGAACCCCCAAATTGCCCACTAGTGTCTCTTTCCCCATCCAGCAAAGCAAAGTGAACAAGACCTCTGGAGTGCTTCACTTGCTGTGTGCAATTTTGCGCTGCAGAGATGGTGTCCAGTTTGCTTTGCTGCTCCACTCGCCCTGTCTCCCACCCCCTGATCTCATGGGTGGTTAGCACTGTCCTCACTCACCCCCTGTTTAACTTGTCCTCCTACCTTCCTATATCAAGCTACAGAGGAATTTAAGTCTGTAAACCACCTAATCCATTTCCCGTGCACCTCATGTGCCACCCTCATCCCTGGCAGGGAAAAGGCAGGACACCTGCTCTCTACATGCTGTGGGAAGGAGGGGCCCCAAGTTTTCCCTCTCTGCTGCTGTGGCTGAAGGTGAGCTATATACGGGAGCCCTGTATCACTGGATGTCCCACCTCCCGAGGGAGGCTTTGGCTGAGCCAAATGTGTGTACTGAGCCAAATGTTAGCAGGGGGACTGCTCCCTCCTGCTGTCTGAGTGGATCAGAGTGGAATTGACAAACAAGCCGGGAAAGATCTGATGTGGGAGCAAATCCATAAGCAACTGGGATTTCACAGTTGTCTCAGATCTGCCCTGCCCATTGTGGCATTCTAGAACTTCGCTGCACCAGTGGGGATCACATTAAGATCCTGATGCGCCGCCACCAGCACAGGCCCAGCCCCAGGAAAGTTGCCATATCCATACAGGGGCTTATGGCACCTCACTCAGTAATTCAGCTTCCTACCAGCAGAGGGCAGTGGTTTTCTAGGTAGCTCCCTACTGTGCATTAAAAGTTCTCACCTACCTGCCATTCTTCTTGCAGGGCATCTGCCTGCTTTGTTTCAGTTCTCAGGCAAACCAGCCCAGGTAGTAAATTGCAACTTTATAATTGCCTGTCTTCACTGGCTTTGCCATAGGGACAAGAGTGTATAGATTCGTGGCTCCACAGCTGAAATGGGGAATTGAAACCAGTATCTGGAGCTCCAAAAGTACAAGACCTAAGGGAGTAACTCCATTAGTTGGCACTAAGTAGCAGTTTGTTATAATCCCTCAGTCCGGCCTCTGGGGGGGGCAGCAGCATGCCAAACCAGCGTCTTATACCAGGGGTTTTCAGCAACATGATCATGCATGCCAAACCAGCGTCTTATACCAGGGGTTTTCAAACTCTGGGACACCGCTCCTGCAGCGTCCCTTGGCTAGGAATGGCAATCTGAGGCCAACGGGAGCAGTGATTGCCCGTACCTGGGGAGGTACAGGTAAACAGAGCATCTCGCAGCCAGCTAGTGGTTTGCCCTTACAAGCCACGACCCAGAGTTTGAAAACCCCTAGGCCCTAATCCAAAGGATGATATATTAAAGCTGTCATGCATAAGGCCTGACCCAGACACTCAGGGGATCCCAGGAGACCAACAGGTCTTTTCTTCCTCTTATTTCAGTGCCAATGTAAGTGTTCAGATATAGGCCCATAAATTCTCCCTCCTTGCTTGGCAATGGCTGGAATGAACCAAGTTGGATAGCTCTGCCATCTGGGATCCACTGGGGAGAAAACCTGATTTCCCCACCCCGTTCACTTGTAATGTGTTGTCACCCAGCAGGTGCTTTAGCTTGGAAGTGGGTGCTCCCAAGGGAGCCCAGCGGGGCTCAGAGAGGCCATGTGGCAGTTCATGAGAGGTGCCCACCCATCTACTAGGCACAACTGGGCTGTGCCTGGCCCTGTTGCTATCAGCTAGCTATGGTGAATTTGATAGCAGTGAAATACACAGGATTTCCTGGACTGGAGCTGCAGGCCTCTGTGGATGGGGGACAAACACATACCTTCACTCTTACAAACAATGTGCCACAACCCTTCTCTGGATCCTAGGCAGGGGACAGGCTGATTTAAAGGGACAGTGCAGCACAGAGGCATTAGCTGGGGCACTTCTCTCTGACCGGGCGAAGATGTCACCATTTGCTAGGTGGCTGAAGTGAGGGAAGCTGCTGGGAGACTGGGCCTTCCTGAATCGTGAGACCACCTCATGATCTGCAAAGTTTCATGAGGTGACATGAATAGGTAGCAGATTTAAAACAAACACAAGGAAGCATTTCTTCACATGACACACAGTCAGACTCTGAGACTCATTGCCAGGGGACGTTATGAATGCCAGAACTATAGCTGGGTTCAAAATAATTGGATAAGCCTGTGGAGGTTAGGTCCATCAACTGCTATTAGCCAGGATGATCAGAGAGAGACAGAACTCCATTCTCCGGGTGTCTCTCAGCCTCTGACTGCTGGGACTGGAAAACAAGGGATGGATCAGTCAAAATTGCCCTGTTCTGTACATTCCCTTTTCAGCATCTGGCACCAGCCACTGTCACAGACAGGAAGGATACAAGGCCTCCATGGACCATTGGTCTGTCCCAGAATGGACGTTCCAGTGTTAAAGTCAGCAAGCCAAGGGCTGGCAACCAGAGCGTGAATGAGTGAAATGATGTAAGAGAGAAAGAATTTGCCTCATCCCTACAGGCATCTTGCTGGCTCCATGGCAGCAGAGTCCAGAAAGCCACTTGTGATAAAGAGCTGGGCTGCTCAGCAGCAGCCTTTAGCTCAGAACTGTTCCTTATCTGAGGGACTGAGATAAGGCTGTTCCCAACCCAGGAGAAATGGAGCTGCTAGCAGGGCCTTAAGACTTTGTGTCTCCTTACTGCTGCAGCCTTTGGTGTGAACTGTGCACAGCACACAACACTCCAGGACTTTACTGTCTCCCCCAGCAAGCCCTATGGGAGCACCCCACCGTGGCCCAGTACCACCCACGCTGATGGGAGCAGTCTCCCATACATGGCACACACTTTCCTGGGGCATGGAGGAGGGGAGGATTGTTTCTCTGGCACAATCTCCGTGAAGGGCTTGACATGCTTCGGCCAAGCCAGGCTGCAGTGTTTCCAGAGCAGCTCCCTGGTCAGATCTAACTTTGTGACTAGAGCAAACAAAAGTCATTTGCTTAAAGCTTCAGCCCGCCCTGAATCTGGATCTGTGCTCTGCAGTGTATTGATTTTAAGAGAAAAAAGAGTTAAAGGCGCTGATAAGCTTTTGCACTGTTGTAATGTTTACTTACCAATACAAATCAAAGTTCCTTAAACAAGTGCAAGAACATAACTTTCAGCCCAATTGCTTCTTCTGTCTTAGGGGCTGGGAAAAGTAAAGTAAAACAAAACACGCTAAATTGTGTTGGGATGTTTGGCAAGATGTTTGCATCTTTTTTTAAAACTCCTAAATGAAAAAAAGTGGGTGGCATAGTTTATTCCCTCATTATTTTGTCCACCAATTAGGCCTCAGATTCGCCACATTATTTTTACTCTGTTGATTTCAGGACTCCTGTCTTTTTGTGGTATATTTAGTTTAATTTTAGCACAGTCCTTACCGTAAATCATATTAGTAGGCTTTTTTCTGTTTAGACTAATTTAGTTTCTCTGTCTGGTTCTCTTGCATTTGTTCATAACACTTAGTATTAAAAACAACTTGACCTATTTTCTGTAGTTCATTCCCAAGCCAGCATACAGTTATAGGTTATTGTAACAGCTGATAAACTTTCACATACTGTTTACATTGAAATTTACAAATAAAGTAATTTTTCAAGTCCAATAATTGCAACAATGTCTATCTCGTCCCACTCAGCTATGGCAGGCAAGTCCTTTTCCCAGAGCCTGGCTGGACTGCAGCAGGGCTGAGAGCGAGCTAGTTGAGCCCAGTGCAGAGATTCTTAGTTTTTTTTTTTTTTTTTTCCAAGTTTGGATAGCAACCAAAAGATAGAATGAGGGTTGTATGTGAAGGAGGAAGTTTGCCTGCCAGGTGGCACTGGTGCTCCCAATCCAGGAGCTGAGTAGATTGCCAGTTACTGTTTAACCAGCTGCAGCATTAGTCTGGGAGGCTTTTTCTCATATGCATCCAGCTAGGCGGATATAGTCTTTTCTCCTCTATGGAGACTTTGCTACTTTGATTCATGCCTTTGCCATCAAGATTGGATTTCTGCACCACCCTGTGTGTGTGTCTGCACCTTCAATCCAGGCAGAAGCTGGTGCTGCTCACTCAATGGTGTGTCTCGCCAGGTGCACATGTCGACAGTGCTCCAGGATGTGTGTTGTGGGAGTCTAGATGGTCCAAGATCATGATAGCCCCAATGGCTCTGGAGGATCTGCCTATCTGAGAGACTGCCTCTTCCCCATGCTGTACTGCTACAATAGAGGTTGTATGAAACAGAAGGGGCAGAGCATCCTATTGGCTTTGGAGCCCTCTTCCCCCTGGGTCCAAAATAGTCCACATCTGGGGGTCTTCTTTGGAGGGGTACTTTTGGAAGAGGGGGAAATTGCTCAGGGTCCTATATAGGGAGGGCTGGGTGCTTTCCCTTTATGTAAGACGTGATCTGTTGCTATTGGCTGTTTCAGAGTCGTGTCTCCCTGTTTGTTATACATTTGTCATGGCACTGTGCATACTGGCTTGTGTGTGTGTGTTATTGCAAGTAACTAAAGCTGGGAAGCCATTTGGGGAATGTTTAATAACAACTTAGCAACTGCTTAGATCTAAAGAGAAAACATTTTCTGAAGCATGATAAATAAACTCTGCCTTCCCGAAACATGGATTAAGTATTAGGCAGCTTTAGACAGAAGATAAATATTTACTGCAGAAAGCTATTAGGGAGATCAGTTAATTTTGGGCGCTGTTGTTTCAGGCTGTGTGCAAACTCAGGCAGGCTAGGTTGGAAGATTTTGTGCATGAATGTGATGGCTAGAGATTTTATCGTTTTAAAATGAAGAGTAAGAAGCTGGATCCTGAGTCTGTGGGGAGAGGGAGCTCCATAGCTGTAGCACCTACAGGTGGTGGGTACTGCTTCCTTTATTGCTGGGGCAGGTAGAGCTGTGTGCATTCGCAGTGAGGGGGAGAAGGCATGGAAACACCACGTACTACTGCAGGCCTTTTAAATTTGCTGTATGCGTGATGCGGGGGGGGACCAGGTATTGGTGGCTGGGAAGTGGGTTAGCCAGATCCAGCACCTGCTGGGATGTGGAAGTCAGTAGCTCTAAATTCCCACTCATCCCCAAATTCAGGTGGCTCAGTGATGTGGTTGGATAGGAAGCCCAAAACTCAGGCCTGTTGTCAGTGACACATCCTGGCATTTCTGGTGGCAAAGCTAGGGCAGGGGTTGGCTAGAGTCATGCCAGCCCTTAGCCCAGACGTTGGTTTGTTCTAGTGCAGGACATCTGATTTCAGCCTGGAGGGGTCCCCTAACCTCTTTACCATCCTCTGTTGTCAGGCCTGGCATTCAGCTGCTGGGACAAGCAGGTAGTGAAACCACCTGAGCTACCTTGCAATGCCTGGGGTGCAGGGAGTAGCTACACAGGAGCGTGGAGCTCTGTTTTGAGGAGCAGGGCTCAGTAGGAAGGGCTCATTTTGACTTTTGCATGGCAGTAAGCACGCCCAGATGCCAAGGCAATGGAAACATTCTTAGGAGTCAGTAAGAAGCCCCCATTTCTGGGGAGCTCAGAGGCAGGGAGGCAGCACTGCGGTGGCAGCACCTGCACGTGAGTGCTGGAGGACGCAGATGGCACCGTAAGGGCCACAAAGAAGGGCTCTCTACGTGCCGTCTCTCGGGTGACGTGGAGCAGGCCCAGCGTGCTGCGTGGGGGAGGGCTGCTCTGGCGGTTAGGAATGGAGAAGCGAGCAGCCATGCAGTCTCAGAGGGAGGAGACCTCTGTGACCGCTCCCTCCCTTGCGAGGCCTTGATCCCTCCCAGCCGTCCATCTCCCTCTCATTGGATTTGATGAGCCTGGCTGGGCTCCAGCAGCTATTCTCTGCAGGGAGCTCTGTTCCTTCTCAGCACCCTGGCTCCAGCAACAAAGCTGGATGATACATGCAGCTCTGTCCAGCCAGGAGCAGGTTGCACTCGCTGAGCGGGTCTGTCAGGGCACTGGCAGTGCAGGGTCCTGGGTGGGGGCCGTGATGTTGCCGCAAGGGGCTAGAGTTTGGAGGAATTCACTTGGGGCCTGGCTGGCAAGGCGAGAAAGGCTTCCCTGCAGCAGAGGGAGCAAGACCTGGGTAATAGGGAGAGGGTGGATGGGAGGTGGGCAGTGTGGTGCTGGGTATCGCTGTGTCCACGAGTCCAGCGATTCATTCTCTCTGCACCTGTCCCAGAGTAGCAAGAAATCCCTCATGGGCTCCCATGTTGGGTCACTCCTGGAACCCCTCTGCCAGCACGAGCCCATGTGATGCATAAGGAGTTTGCTGGGTCTTAGCTCAGTCCCTCCCAGGTGACATAGATGGGTCTCCTCTCCGTACCCTGCCGCAAGCATGTAGTGCCTCAGGACTCAGCTAGGTGGGCACTGGGCATGTGCTGAAACCCTCAGGCTTAGCACCACAGCCAAGGGGCTGTCCAATTGCAACCAGCCTCCCCTGCCTGCCCAGTGAAGTGCAGCCCTTAGGCAGTTAATTACTGCAGTAAGAGAAAGTGAATCATAGAATCATAGAACACTAGGACTGGAAGGGACCTCGAGAGGTCACCGAGTCCAGTCCCCTGCCTTCGTGGCAGGACCAAGCACTGTCTAGATCAGTGTTTCCCAATTGGTGCTCCACAGAATTCTGGGCTTCTGTGAAGCGAAAGCAGGGGTTCCGCAAAGAGCCGGCACTCCCCCGCCCCCTCTGAAACAGAGAGGGAGCCAGCTAACCAGCAGAGGCATAGGGAGGCAAGGGCAGAGGGAACAGCTGTTCCCAGCAGGCACACTAAGGGGGTGCCGGACAGGAGTGACCTCACGTTACCCACAGCAGGGAAGGAAGCACTTCCCCTCCCCAAAGGAGCCAGCACGCACTGCCTGAACAGCTGGGGCGGTGGCATCCGGCAACTTAGTTCCGCCGCCTTTCTGCGTGGTTTGGGGGGGCAGGGGAGGTCAGGAGACCCAGGGCTGCACAGCTCCGACTATGCAGGCAGCACACTCTGCCCTGGGACTCACTGTGCCCTCCTCCTCTGCAGGACAGCGTGGTGGAAGTAAGTTGCTGGAGTGCAAGAGCCCCTGCTGTTCAGGCAGCGTGCACGCCAACTGTTTGGGGAGGGGAAGTGCAGTCGCACACTCCCGTAACCCGAGGTGCTGCAGGATTGCCAGGTACTGGTCCCAGCTGCCCCTGACCCCTGCCCAGACTCCCCACGCGTACCCTGTCCCCTGCCCCCACCAACACTGTCCCCAGCACCCAGCAGCACCCTGGCCCTGCCCCCAGCACCCTGCCACCCACCCTAGCACCACCCTGTCCCCGGCCCCAGCACCCCTGCCATCCACCCCAGGACCCAGCACCACCTTGTCCTTGTCCCAGCACCTGTCACCCACCCCAGTGCCCAGCAGGACCATGTCCCTGACACCAGCACCCTGACACCTACACCAGCATCCTGCCCCAGCACTCTGCCACCTATGCCAGCATCCTGCCACCCAGCAGCACCCTCTCCTCAGCCCCAGCACCCACTAGCACTCTGTCCCCTGCCCCCACCAGCGCTGTTGGGACCACATTAGTGAGGCTTGGGGGTTTTTGGAGGAGCTTTTTTTTGGTTTTTTGCATCTCACTTGTGTGGCCCCAACTGACTTTTCTGTGGGTCAGTGACCCTTGACTCAAAACAGGTTCCTCACCCCTCTCGCATATAAAGACAAAGCTAAAACCTTTTGAGTTTGACATAATATTTTATTTAAAAATGAAGCCAGGCCAACAAGCCCCCAATTGGGACCAAACCCCCATTTCACTACAACATCATAACATTCCTGCACCCCCTGACCCCAAATCTGAACCTATCATACACTGGAACCCCCGTCCTGAGCCTCTTACATCCCCACACTCCTGCATCCCCACATCCTCAGTCTTCTGCCACAACATTCCTCCACCAT